ATTTTAAAAATTTACGAGTACTATATACTCTAGATACTTGCCAAAGAAAGAAAAGATTGAAAAATTCTTCAGTGGTACCATCACCGGAGACTGGAGACAGAGTAATTACTTCAATTATTTTTTTTTAAAAACCTTCCGAAACAAAATAGAGCTGATGATCCTGAAACGGCTGGGAATATTTTCTTGAATCGTAGCTAAGAACAATCTCGATAAATTTCATATCAAACAAAAAAATGACAACTAAATCGGTTTATCCGTTTGGGAGCTACGATGCCATAGAAAGACACAGAAATACACAGATACGCAGCGACATCAGATACACAAAGTTAAATACGTTAAACATACAACAACCCTCTTTTTCGACTTTATTAATATCTGCGACACCAAGGAAATTACAGGTTCGTTGCCAGCCTTTTAAAAGAGAGTAAGATCTTTTCTTGAAAGTTCCTAAGTTGTATCGGTCCAGAAAAATTGTTAAACAGTTCCACAGATTTTCATTGTTCGAGGAAAACATACACAGTGGTTGACCGCCATGCATTCAGCTGGTGTGGATAGTATCGTGAGTTTTGTCGCGATGTGCGTTCCTGAAATTTGGGGAATTTTAAGACCATTAAACAAGTCACTGTTCCATTACTATTACGGTTGATATTTGTAAGGAGTTTCCTGGGAATTTGTTAGGCCTAAAACAGCAGCCATTTTCGTTTTTAATGACATTATATAATATTCAGTTGTTAAAGTATCCTTGCTGCTTATGCAGCTTTTTTATGTGATTCATCCCAAGATTGTGACCATACTTTATGTTACTAATTTCGCTCGCCTCTTGTATTACAGTTCCATTAAAACGATGCACATCCCACTTTACAGCTTTACCTACAAACCCGTTAGTCCCATCCGTTCCTTTTATTAGTAGTAGTAGTAGTCCGGTCAAAATAGACATTCAAGGTAACAATAATGCGCATAGAGTAACTGCTCCCTAATCTGTAATCACAATCGGAAGTTACTCCAATTTTAATATACACGAAGTTCCAAAAAATTTATATATAATAGTTATCTTTTGTAAAAATTACTTGTGAAAAATGGCGAGTGAAATTAGCTTCTCTTCCCAACCCAACCCATGCTTCTGCTCTTTAAAACCTGTTTCGGGTATATTATCTAGTTTAAGTGTGACTTCGTAATAAGCTGCACCCAGTAGATTGGTGTTGGAAATTAATTGACAATACATAGGAACCAATTTAGACTTAACTCCCAACTGCACCGGGAACCGAAAAACGTCTCAATACAATTTTTAACAATTGCAAAAAGAGATATAATCCTAAATACAGCTGCAAAAATTTGAATTGTTTTGTACATTGGCGTATACTAGTTGTCAAGACCAATCGTACTCTAATGTTGAATGGTCATTTAAAGAGGATTCTTTTGATATCAGCGAGGAGACATCTGATGCGTCGCGCTTTGAACAATTCACATGTATGCACAGGAAGAAGAAGAAAAAGAAAAAGAAGACATTACACTTGAAGTTTCAGTAGATAATTATCAATCAGACGAATAATTTCCACAATTACTCATAATTTACACCCTTTCTATGTAAATATTTTATTTATAGGCCATCATCATAAAAATATTTCAAAATAGTCTCACAAGTTGTATAACAAGTTTTGACGAGAAAACTTAAATTTTTTGTTAAATGTTCTTTTTTTTACTCAGTTAAGGTATATTTATTTATTTATTTATTTATTATATTCAACCAAACTTATCACTAACATTACAGGATCTAATGACCTATGCGCTAGTGAAAACAGTAAACATTTTAATTATTATAACATATTATAAATAATGCAGCCCTTGTGAATTCACTCATAGAACATACAAATATGTCAACTTTCTCATGGATAAGGTTAAGTAGTCTGGTGGCGCGAGTGAGCGGCGCCTCCCGCAGCAAGTTGGTGCGAGCGCGTGGCACCGCCAGCAGCCGCGGCCGTCGCCTTCGCCACACGTATTTCTCCGGCACATTCAAATATATACCCTCCAAGAAATAAGGATTGTCTATCTTTCCTCTTATTACTTGAAGAATATATGATACTAATGTGAGGTTCCGCCTAACACGGAGTTCATTATATCCCACCATACCTAAAACGAATAAGGTTGGATATTTTAGTGGATAAAAAGGATATTTACGCCATAATATTTGAAATATAGAAATCTAACAAATTTGTTTTGAATTCTCTCCAGCATGAGACTATATTTAGTTTCATGTGGAGCCCAGATAACCGCGTTGAACTCAAGCTGGCTCCTAACTAAGACGTTATACAGTGCTACAATGGCTTTAATGTTAGTGAAACAACGAGCCCTGCGCAGTATAAAACCTAAGTTGCGATACGCTTTCTTGCAGATGTCCGCTATATGATTTTGGAAATTAAGTACTGAGGTGAAACGAACACCCAAATCCTTAACCTCGTTCACTCGTGGCATAGCTACTCCATCCAGTGCATACGTATAGCGCGCGGGATTGCGTGCGCGAGTAAAAGTTAGCGTTACACACTTAGATGAATTAAACTGCAATTTATTATCCTCACACCACGCTACCACCCTGTCAATGTCGCGTTGTAACCTCTCACAGTCCTCCGGTTCCCTGATCGGTAGATACAGCTTGAGGTCGTCAGCGAACAGCAAACATTTAGCGTCAATCACAACACTCGGCAGATCGTTTATCATTAATGTAAACTCGAGAGGACCGAGATTGCTGTCTTGACTCACACCAGATCGAGTGTAATATGGTTTCGATACGAAACCAGCGTATTCCACATATTGTTGCCTGTCCCTCATGTAACTGGCAAACAATTGTAGTAAGTGTGGAGTAAAACCAACGATTGCTAACTTTTTAAGTAATACTTCGTTATCGACCAAGTCGAAAGCTTTTCTAAAATCAAAGTAAGCAACGTCCACTTGTACTCCACTGTCCACTACCGGCACGATATCAGCCATGTAGTTCAGAAGGTTGCTTGCGGTACTCCGTGCTGGTCGAAAGCCATGCTGAGCATCTGTCAGCTGGGTGTTTACCTGCGAGAGTACATTCTTATGTATAGCAGACTCCAACACTTTCGCCGGTGTTGACAGGACAGCTACAGGTCTATATCCTTCTACTTTAGTTAACATACCTTTCTTGGGCACCGGCACGACTCGTGTTATTTTCCACCTCTCGGGAAACACCGCCGACTCAATGCAAAGGTTATATATGTGAACTAGAGGTTCCGCTTCTACAACTTTCTTCTACTTCCCTACAGTCCCTAAATACGTAGGGAGGTATACCGTCCGGTCCTACGGCAGACTTAGGCTTCAACCTCTGTAGCGCACCTCTAACTTCTTCTAGTTTTAAGCGGTCTAGATGCACGCACGCACCACCATTACCTCCACCAGCATTAATGATACACGCGTTCACGTCTAAGTCTGCCTGTTTCGTGCTATACACCGAGTGGAAATACCTCGCGAATTCTTCAACACTTTGTTGACCCGTTAACACCTCCCCATCCTGTAATATTGACCGTGAGTGTCTACTACCCCTTTGAGATTTTATATAGTTCCAAAATGCCTTTGGTTCTTTATGTAGGTGATTTTGGACGCGGTGCTGATAAAGTGTCTTCTCAATACCTATCATCTTTTTTTATTCTCGCTCTACACTGCGAGTATTTACCGTAATCTTCCGCTAACCCACTCGATTTATACCTTTTGTGCAGAATCGCTTTTAATTTTATGTTGCGAATTATTTCAGGTGTGAACCAATCGGGGTAATGATACCTCGAGCTCACAACGTTTCGCTTCTTCTTTGGAACGCAGTCATCTATAACTGAATAAATAATGTCATAAAAATAATTTAAACTCATTTCTAAGTTAAGACCCCACATAGGACCCCAATCTACAGCTGCTATGGACGAATATAGTCTTAACAGATCTGCTTTTTTAAAATTCCATCGCTCTGGTACGTAATATTTGTTATTGTTCGGAAAAGTATCACCAGCGACGGCCAAGTCTGGCGTCAGCGAGCATTTGGGCGTCGGCGCGGGACACCGGACCGATACCGCGAGTGCAGGATGGTAAGGGTCGAGAGACACCAGTGGAGGCGCCGCACTCACGCACACACCATCCCATGTACTTAACACTAAATCTAAGCAACGACCAATACAGTTCTCTACGCTGTTGCTCTGAGTGAATCCACAATAAGCCTGAAAATATACATAATAATCATTAACAGATGACGGACAGGAATGTAAATTAAAATCTCCTAATACTACCACAGCGCTATACATATCACAAAATTTTTCTATTATCCTAAATAACATCATATAATCAGTCTCACTACTTTTTGGAGGTATATAAATAACGCAACATAAAAATAAAAATCTCTGATGTAAATAAACAGTTGCACTTGCGCATTCGAATACACAATTGTCTACGATGACGTCACCGGGGATCGCCACTGGTCGCAATTCAAACCGCGGTGTGGCCACTAAACATGCGCCGCCTTGCTTACGTCCGTCTGCTCGGTCACTTCTAATTATTGTATAACCGGATGGAATTATTTCAGCGTCCCTAATTGAATTATTACAACCAGTTTCGGTTATAGCGAACAAATTCGCTTCGTGTATAAATACACCTTCACAAAATTCATCCAGTTTAGTTCTAAGGCCTCTTACGTTTTGGTAGAATACCTCGATACACTTATTGGTTCTTTGACTTATTGGTTGGCTTGCGAAACCACACCCATTCACCAAACTCTATATTCACCGCCCAATTTTCTGATTGACATAGTAATTGATATTTGCTCTCTGGTACACCTATTATGAAGGATGCATAATCTCTTTCAGATTTATGTTTATTTTTTTCCACCTTGACAGCTATATCCTGCCCACAAATTTTTCTTACATGCGTTTCTACGCATTCTGTGGTAGTCTCCTTCTTGAGCCTCCAGACATGTAAATATTTCTTCCGCTCTGTGCCTTGAATTTCTAGAGAGGTTGTGTTATCTCCTCTTTTGACTTCACTGTTCGGGTACCTATTTTTTTCCTATGAATGACTGTCCATTCTTCACTTTCTTTTTTCTTCTCTGTCTCTTTCTTCTTAATTTCTTCTTCCGTATTGGGTTTCATACTACTTATTTTCTCGGCTTGTACCTCTGTGGTAGCAGATGTCGTGGCCTGTTTCGTGGCCACAAATTCCTTTGCATTTTGATTTTGTTTGACAGTACTTGCAAATGACTTTGGTAGTTCTGGTGATAATTGAGTTGCTTCTCTATTATTCTTAATATTAGTCCCCTTAATATTAGGTTGACGAGATTCCATATTAGATATTTCCAGCCTTTCGTTTTTTTTCTATTAATATTTTAATTTTGTTTTCTAACGAATCTACTTTACTCGCCTTTTCTTGAACTACCTTCAATATATTTTGTACTTTAATTAACTCTGTTTCTGTACTAATAAATTTGTGCTCGAGTTGTTTATATGCCTTTATTTGCTCGTCTAATTTATTTTTTATTTCTAATCGAAATTCTCTCATCATCTCAAAAAAGTTACATTCGTTTTCGGCCATAGGTACATTGGTCTGCTTTGTTCGCCTGCGCTCAGTGTTAACGAAATTGGTTGGTGTAAATGTACTATTCATTATTGTGTTCCCGCGAATAGGAGTATCAGAATTATCTCTCTTTGGGATATTCCGTATACATTCAGGGCATATCCAGTTTTCCTTGTACTCCTGAGTGAAACCCTCAAATGTTTTCTCTGTAATTGCCAGACATTTTAAGTGAAATAACTTTTTACATGTTGCTTGCGAACACTCCATATATGATATTTCAAATATTCCAGAATCACACCCATTACATTTATTCCCCATTTGACACTGTAGGTGTGCTGCGCACACACATGTAAACTTCGCAATGTTGTATTGTAACTATATTATGTAGTGAATAAGATTTTTCAACCAGTCTCTAGTTGCCCGCCAACTGTATGGCACGTTCCGCTATAATAAATATATTAGTAAAAGATTTCATCTTTCATTATGGTCACCAATAGGCACCCATATGGAGTCAGCTCCTAAACTGGTGACCCCGACGTGATCAAGATGACCGAAGTGGTCTATGTGATGTTAATGCAGTAGTGGGCAATATTCGCGTGGTTGTGATCGGTGGACAATTTATATAGTAACATGAGTGTGCCGTTTCCGCCAACGCCACAGAACGTGCCGCCTGTTAACGTGCTCACTGCGTCTGACTCCAAGGACCTGGACAACCTAGCAGCAGTTGCAGATAACGTCATGGAGGCTGTGCGGCCTTCCTATGCCGCCACCGCTACTTACACCGTGCCAGCGCCAGCATCTACTACCGCCTATGACTTGGCCCTGTTGAGAGCTGAGGTGGCTAAAATAAAGGCTACCGTGGACCGGATCGAGCAGCAGAGGTCACGGTCCCGCGCCCCTGATCGCAACCGGCGTCGTTCACAGTCCAGGCGCCGTAGCAGTCCCTGCCGTCCCCGGAAGGAGAACTACTTATGCTTTTACCATTACAGGTTCCGAGAAAAGGCCAACAGGTGTACGAAGCCTTGCGCGTGGAAAACAACACAGCCGGAAAACTGAGCAGCGAGGTACAGTCCGAGGGTCTTCAGGTCTGTACCGTTTTTCCATTCAATCGTTTGTGTGTGTCAGACAGTAACTCCGGACTTAGATTTTTAGTTGACACCGGTGCCAATGTGTCTGTTTTACCAGCCGTGAGAAAAGATCGTCTAAATCAGTGTAGTGAATATAAATTATACGCAGCTAACGGCAATGAAATCGCAACTTACGGTACCAAGACAATAGTGTTAAACTTAAACTTACGCCGACCTTATCGTTGGGGATTCGTTGTAGCAGATGTCAAACAACCAATTTTGGGCGCCGATTTTTTAGCGTACCACAAACTATTAGTTGATTTAAACGCGCGTAAATTAATAGATAAAACTACAGAATTGAATGTTTCGGCATCTGTTGTCAATGTATCTCAACCTAGTGTTAAAACTATTGATGTAAATCATCCATATCAGGATTTATTGTTAAAGTATCCGGACATCACTAAACCAGCGTCATTCCGAGAAACTGCGAAACACGATGTCGTCCACTATATCGAGACCTCTGGCCCGCCCGTGCACGCGAAAGCGCGCCCGTTGCCACCTGACAGGTATAAAAAAGTTAAAGAAGAATTTCGCATCATGCAAGAACTGGGCATCTGTCGTCCTTCAAAGAGCGCGTGGGCTAGTCCGCTCCATGTAGTTCCTAAAAAGAATGGAGATATAAGACCTTGTGGGGACTATCGCCAGCTGAATGCGATAACAAAGCCCGACAGATACCCGATTCCTCGCTTGAACGATTTTACTTTTATTCTTCCGGATAAAAAGATATTTTCAAAATTAGACATCAATAGAAGTTATCATTTTATACCTGTCGCACCAGGTGACGTGGAGAAAACCGCTATCATAACACCATTCGGACTTTTCGAGTTTCCTCGAATGACCTTCGGTTTGCGCGGAGCAGCACAAACCTTCCAGCGCTTTATGAACTCCATTTTACAAGGTCTTGATTTTGTTTTTTGTTATTTAGACGACTTACTTATAGCTAGTGACAACGAAGTTCAACACAGGCAACATTTAGAAATTATTTTTAAAAGGCTTAATAAATATGGAATTTCAATTAATTTGGCAAAATGTCGTTTCGGACAAACTAAACTAGAATTTTTTAGGACACGAGATTAGTACCGACGGCGTCAGGCCGTTGCAAGATAAGGTTCAGGCAATTGTGGAATTTTCGAAGCCGAAAACTGTTGCAGAACTAAGACGTTTTCTCGGTATGGTCAATTTTTATCGAGCTCATCTTCCCAACGCAACTTTATATCTAACAGAATTAAATAAATATCTTAAAAGCTCAAAGAAAAATGATAAGACTCCCATCGTCTGGACGGATAGTGCGAACGAAGCATTTACGCAATGTAAGGCAGGTCTCACACAGGCCGCTACATTGACGTACCCTAGAGTGGGTTCCGCACTCGCTTTAATGACTGATGCATCTAATACATGCGTGGGAGCAGTCTTGCAACAAAAGGAAGGAGATAGCTGGAAACCATTGGGCTATTTCTCAAAAAAATTGACCACCACCCAACAGCGATATAGCACATACGATCGCGAGTTGCTCGCTATATACTTAGCTATAAAACATTTTCGGAAATTATTTGAAGGGCAAGAAATAACCGTGTATACGGACCATAAACCTTTAACTTTTGCATTTCAAAAGGTAGGACGCGATGAAAGCGAAACGCCTCGAAGAACGAGACATTTAGCTTTCATAAGTGAGTTCACTACAAATATAAGACATATAACCGGTACGAATAACATCGTAGCTGACACCTTATCGCGCATCGAAGCCGTGACTATGCCAACTGCGTTGAATTTCGATGACATTGCAAATGAGCAGCGTAGCGACAGTTATATCATGAATGTTATGTCTGGTTTAAATACCGATAATATTTTGTTAAAGGAACTAGTTATACCTATGTTAAATAAGTCTATTTTTTGTGAGATGTCTACTGATACAGCTCGTCCGTACCTACCGGAAAAGTTTCGACGCCTAGCTTTTGATAGTTTACATAATTTGAGCCATCCTGGAATTCGTTCTACGCGAAAGATGTTAGCCAAAAAGTATTTCTGGCCTAGTATGAATCGTGATGTTTCTTTGTGGGCAAAAACGTGCATACAATGTCAACGTTCTAAAGTTAACAGACATACGGTATCGAATCTGACTAAGTTTCCGGAAGTAGAGCGTTTTGAGCATGTGCACGTCGATATCGTTGGCCCTCTTGAGATCTCACCAGATGGTTATAGATACTTACTCACGATAATTGATAGGAGGACCAGGTGGCCTGAAGCTTTTCCGTTACGAGACATTACGGCAGAAACTGTTGCCAAACATTTATATGAAGGTTGGATTTGTCGTTACGGTTGCCCGATAAAGTTAACTAGCGACCAAGGTCGCCAGTTTGAGAGTAGTCTTTTTAACCAGCTGTTAAAAATGTTGGGGGTTAATAGAATTCGAACTACTCCTTATCATCCGCAAAGCAATGGCGCAGTTGAACGTTGGCATCGTTCTTTAAAAACAGCACTTTCAGCTCGCCTGTCACATGGGTCCTGGGTGGAAGAGCTACCCACAGTATTACTTGGGCTTCGCGCGGCCGCCCGCAGTGACTCAGGGGTTAGCGCCGCCGAGTTAACGTTCGGACGAAACTTACGTCTACCGGGAGACTTTTATGACGGCTCTTCGAACAACCGTAACGTCAATGATTATTGTTTAGTGGATAAGATTAGAGATACTATTCGTAGTTATAAGCCTACATCCGACGATTCACGTAACTGTCATAGTTTTTTTGTGCACAAGGACTTACGTAACTGTGAATATGTCTTTGTTAGGGACGATTCAATACGTAAACCTTTGAAACCACCCTACGACGGTCCATACCGCGTGATAAAAAAGGGGCTCAAAAGTTTACCTAATTCAATTACCCGATAGACAGGTACATATTTCTATCGACAGATTAAAGCCTGCATATGTATTAAAGGAATGTGATGGTAACGAAGCAACGCCACGCCAAAGTAACGCTGACAACGCAGCGGATGTGGCACCTGCGCATGTACGGTTCGCGTTACCACCGTCCACACCGCTGACGTCGTTGTTACCCGGCCCGAGCAACCCGATAACCGTGAAAACAACGCGAAGTGGTCGGATTGTTAAGTTACCTTCACGATTTATAAGCTAGTGTTAATATAAAATATATATTATACAATTACATGTCTAAATGATAATCAGGTTTAGTTACTATGGATGTGAAAGTATTATTTGCATTGTCAAGTGCATAATATTTTCATTCAGGATATTCATGTTACATTATTTAAGTTGAATGTAATTGTAGAGGTATCGTGTTCAGTATTTTGCGTATACTGCACTTTCATATAGGTTCCAGGTAGCTAGTTTAGTATAATGTATTTAATATAATTTCATTCGAAATACTTCCTTTGCGATAGCATTAGCGCGATAAGTTTTACGATTTTTACTATGGGTAATTTTCAAGAAAAACCAGTTATTGTTTCTCAGGCTCAAAATACTGTAGAGAATAAAGTGGATAATTTTCAAACATGGTTATATGTGATAGCCAGTTTTATGGGGGCGATAATCCTGTACACTATTTGAGTAAAGTTTAATAAGAAGTTCAAAAGCTGGCTTCGTCATCAGGTGTTAATGACAGGCGTTCCGATATCGGGCCAGAATATGGGTC